CCACCAACTTGTGGTTGCTAAAATATCTGAGAAGGGCTGTGGTTGATGAAATTTATCCACCGGCTCACCTGCCTCGGGTACAGCCTTTGCCAACTTGCGTACTTTATATGCGTACTTGAGTTAACGAATTCTTAGCATGTAGCCATGACCAAGTGCGCAGTGCTTACAGTTCAGTAGTTTTGGTTCACAGTATCGTCTAATTTTGACATCCTACGACTGAAACTTCGTGCCAAAAGCCTGAGGCTCAACAAGGAGATATAAATTACGCCGGTGTGGTGTCGTTATATCCTATGGTAGTGTTTGGTTACCCGGAATTTGGAGTGTTTCGCCATGCCCATGAAATTTGTCGGTCAGAACGTAAAGATCAAAACTCATGAGCTACAAACCCCAAGTTCAGAGCTCGACATAGGTTTTTCTCACAAATCCCACCCATACTCTTGCTAAGCTTTCTTATGAGATGAAAATTTCTTTTTTTGTGTGCAAACCATGTTTGCTGTTGCACAGAAATAAGTGATTAAGAATGCTTCTCTCTCTCTCTCTCTCTCTCTCTCTCTCTCTCTCTCTCTCTCTCTCTCTCTCTCTCTCTCTCTCTCTCTCTCTCTCTCTCTCTCTCTCTCTCTCTCTCTCTCTCTCTCTCTTTCTGGGTGACAGTGCGTAGAAGTGTGGCAGATATATTTTCTCCGGAGGGGATGAGGATGGGAGCGAACTATCTCCCCAGCCTATCTCCTTTCGAAAGGAGCCTTATTGTAAAAGGCGGCCATACCCATTTAGTATTTATTTTCACAAGAAGACTAAGTATTTAAAGCAAAGACAGTCTGAAGACCCGAGGGAAGAGGATCGAGACGGAGGACGGTTCCTCTTCCGTATACATCCCAGCGTCCATAGACTGCCAGCCGTCTGTAGACAGTCCCCGTCTGTAGACAGCCCTCCGTCTGTAGACAGCCCCCTGCCGTAGACAGCCCGGCGCCCGCCTTCTGTGGACAACCCGTCGTGTGTAGACAGGCCGCCCCGCCGTGTCTGTAGACAGTCCCTGCCTGTAGACAGCCGTCTGTAGACAGCCGTCTGTAGACAGTCCGCCCCGCGGTGTCCATGTAGACAGCCCTCCGTCTGTAGACAGTCCCCGTCTGTAGACATCCCTTCGTCTGTAGAGAACCCTGTCTGTAGACAGCCCGCCGTCCGTAGACAGCCGTTTGTAGATGGCCCGCCGTCTGTAGACAGCCGTCTGTAGATAGCCCGCCGCCGTCTGTAGACAGTCCCCGTCCGTAGATAGCCCTCCGTCCGTAGACAGTCCTCGTCTGTAGACAGTCCGCCCCGCGATGTCTGTAGACAGTCCACCGTCTGTAGACAGCCCCTCCCGTAGACGGCCCTCCGTCTGCGGCCATGGAGACATGGCGGCCATTTCCTCTGTGATGGTGTCCGGACGTCCCGTTTCCGGTCACGTCGCTCGTCGGTGCAGTGTCAGCAGAGATTTAACAGTCGGCTCGCGATGAGACACGCTCCGGCCGGGGGCAGAGTCCAGGAGCACAGCCAACTTGTCCCGGACATGACCCGGAGAGCAAACTCAGATGGGCCCGGGTTGATTAAGTAAGATGGGCGCTTAAACGGGTGAAGGCATCTATACTTCCTCACTTAGGAAGGTTAGCGAGTTAGACGGTATCTCTGCTTGGTCTGCTTCGCAACAGCATATAGTTTGTAAATGGAGACTTAAGACACAGTTGACAACAGCGGGCCAATTAAGTGATGATTATTATCATTTTACCGTAAAATGCACAGTGTTTCATTAACACTAAGAAGGGCAGCACAGCTCATAAATAGCTGGTGCCACAATACAAGACCCGCACGTAACCGTAGATGAACAGTGAAGATTAATGGTAAAAGAAAATTCATACGGCGAAAATCTGGTAACCCAAATGACACATATCCAACCAAATATCCACGAAAACGGGGTCATATGCTCCACGGCAATTCGTCAATCCTGCCGACTGTCCGTAGTCTATATAGTGGGATTATGTTTGCACACTTACCCTCGAGGAGAGTAGGACCACATGCTCATTCTCAGGAGCGGTCATCTGATGGCCAGCGGTCCAGTTTTATACACCACCAGCACGGCCGCCAAGTGTGAGATCCTGCTGCAAAGCTGGCCACGATGAGGCCGCAAAATGGCGACCCACCGGAGCCGCCAAGAATTGACGGTGTCGACTGAATACAGAGCGGCCCAGATGGGCCCGTGATATGACTGAGCTGGAACGGGCCGGCCGGATGGTGCGGATAGTTACCGACGTTCTGAGAACTCCTGATGCCGATCCGCTGGCCAGGAAGGTCGATAGGCGCGCTTAGTTGGTCGTTGAAACGAGAGGGCTCAAAAGTGGGCAGGGCAGTTGATGAAATGGATTACATTAGCCAAACGAAGTAATTAATTTAATCCGAAGTCTATGAAGTGAATATGTTTTATCACTAATCAAGGTAAAATATTTCAACCATATATTATATATTTGATTGATGTGAAGTGAACTGTAAAGTTATCAGCGAATAGAGTCATGTTACTGAATCTAGCCAAAGTAAATTGCACGCAGAAGATGCATCTGTTGCGTGCAGCTGTATCTGCTGCGCGTATCTGAATCTATACTGCTGCGTGTATCTGTCGATACCGTTTTGATCATTCTGACTATGCTCTTGAGTGTGCAGGTGAGAGTGAACGAATGTGTGGGAGCATTCGATTCCCAAAGGAAAGCGTGTGATGATGAGGAAAACGCGTTAGCAAAAGCTTCCGCGAAGCTAGCGTTTCTTCTAAAGCAGTCTCGTGAGCACACTGATGGAAGCAGGAGACGCACAAATATTAACGTATATCTGCTGCTCGTTCAAGTGCAAAACGACAGTTCCTAAATATCGGAACGTTTATTACATTGCGTTATGAACATTATGCCTACCAAATTGCTCAGACGTTCACCATTTACGCAGTCAGGTTCACAAAATGCTCAGGATTCCACTATTTGCCATTACCAAAGTGCTTGGGGACTGCCTCATACCACGTTATGATTTAGAGCGAGTCCTCTGGAGCTTATCTCGATCAATAATGCACCGCTGTTTGTGAGTGGCATCCCATCCTACAGCTATTATTCAGGCACCGTGCAAAATTAATTTAACAAGACAGCCACCGGACACGACTGCCACAAGACAAACATCTCAGAAAGAGGCGAAGCTCACGGCATACAGCGGCACGAGCTGATCCCAGAGGCCCTCTGCCTTCTCCCCAACGCGAAATATTCACCATCGACTCCTCGAAGCCCAGTCAGGCCAGGCTACCTTCCTCGCACTCTCAATTGTCACCGTACGTTCTCAATGGCCTGCCAAACGACCATGTCTGGCTTTCTGCGGGCGCCAGCACGAGCACACCGTCTCTGTCGGAAGCTCTGCAAACCGACCCTGTTCTCGACTGGCGGGTGCGGCTAGCGGCTATCTCTGCCACTCCTCCCTCTGCTGTTCTTCTAACTTTGATGGACCAGGGCCTATCCGATGGAAAGAACTGAGAGGTGAGACACACTGGAACCTGAAGGATCTATTTCAGACCTGCGCGGGCAATTACATTCACATTTACATGGCTAATTGTGAATGAGTTTACTCGCAGTATAAAATAATGAATAGTTTCTCTAAGAATAGTAAGTTAGATAAGGCAGGATTGTTGCATTACATGGTAGGCGATATGCCACTCCTCCCTCTGCTGTTCTTCTAACTTGTCTGTTTGAGCGTCTGCGTCGGTCGGCTAGCCACTGTGTCTCTCTATGCTGGCGAGGGGAGGGGGAGGGGGGTTACAGCCGTGCTGGGACGGCCCCGATCCATCACTTTCCTCGAAGCTCGCTGTGAGGAGGCACTCCGCGTCTCACGATGTATTCAGTGGGAGGTGTTGATGCCCGACTGATGTGTCATGGAAGACATAATGGGATCCGGCTCGACAAAGGATTGTGTGAGAAAACTATATACGAGGCGACGACACCAGTTCGGCAAACGACATTTCCGGTGACCTTTCACGCACCAGCGGTATGGATTCTCAGTCAGACCAAGGCGCTGACTGGATGCCCTTTGAGTAACTATTCAATAGCTGATGTTGAAATCGTACAGTTCTGAATCTATATAGCCACCCGCACCTCTAAGTATCTTTAGTCTAAGGATACCTGTGTTTTAATTACGAGATCACATTCATCATTTCGATTTATATTATATCCCTCGATGGCACTACAACATTGTGAATTGTCAACCCACCACCACCACCACCACCACCACCACCACCACCAAAAAGTAGGTATTTGCTTTGAATAAGTAGGCATGTGGCCTGCTGTTTAACACCCCAGGGCCTATCCGATGGAAAGAGTTGAGAGGTGAGACGCACTGATGCATGAAGGATCTGAATCCAGGCCTCCGTTGCGATAATGTCATTCACATTTGCCTGGCTAATTGCGAATGAGTTTACTCGCAGTATGAAATTATGAATAGTTTCTAAGAATAATGATCAGATAAGACAGGGTCATTGCATTACATACATGGTAAGCTGAATGCGATCATTCTCATTATGTAAATGTTTCGTATTCCAATATATTTCAAAATAATATGCAAATGGCATGGTTCCTGATCTAATATGCAATGTGCACGAGCTAATAACGCCCACGACAAATATTTCTTTTGATAATTTCGTGTGCCATAAAGCAGCAATACCAGCGACGCTGCTTCGTTTTACTGCGTGGTGGTTATTCGCGTGATTGACCGCCTTACTTATTTTCAGTTCATAACGTTACTTTGCGGCACGTTCGATACACCGTGCTTTTTTAGACGCAGTTGCACAGGAAGGTAGTCGAAATACCCGATGTATTTTCTCAGCCACGTCAGCAAACGTTTACTGTTTTTTTTTCCCGTGCGTCCCCCTCGTTCTCAAGCTTTGCTGAGTGTGTACTAGCCTACCGTTATTCAACACGAACTCCTCGTAACCCCCGTTACCCCTTCTCCCTCAGCTTGTAACATCACCTACCATGGCGAGGAAGGCCGGACGTACGGGCTGGAGCTGCGACAGCCGCGGCGGGACCGGCTGCCGCACATCTGCCAGCTCAACTTCATCGCAGACGGAAAGAACTACGGAGACCTGCTGGAGCTGGTCTTCGACACGTTCAGCCTGGGCCGGTTCACCAGCCACGTGCACAACGGATGTCCAGACGGGTGGGTTCAAACAGCCGGGGAACAGGCTCGAACGGCCGGGGCTCGGAGGAATGAGTGGGTTCGAACGGCCGAGGTCCGGACGAGTGGGTTCAAACGGAGGGATCAGGGTGTAAAGGTTTAAGCTGTGAATGGTGCTCAGGTGGTTTAGATGGCAGGTATCGGGACGGGTGGGCTCAAATGATAGATTAAATTTCTGGACATGCTAGGTGCAAACGGTTGATATGCCAGGTCGAACGTATAGGCTCAAATGGTAGGTTTACGGGCATTGGGCTCGAATATAAAATGGTGGATGTTCGGATGGGCGTTTTATGCATCAGTACGCAGGAAAATAAACTTATATGACAAAATAATGGGTGAGGGGGTTTAAAATGACGGCAATACCATCGCTGAAGGGGCTTCAATGCTTACGCAACTATATTTATCGTCGCTCCAGCTCACTGGCTCAGTGCTAATCTGGTCAAACTTTTAGTTCTGATTATCGTTTTCATCAACGTCATTCCTTATTTTTATGACGATCCATTATAACAACTGATGGGCACTTCTCTTACCGTTCAATCGTCTGCCTCTGCCGACAGTCACATGCAGATTTTCGAGTTCGGCCAGATTCAGAACGACGGCTTCTGGTGTGGCAACGCCTACGGCTACAACGTCTACTACAGCCAGACTGGCAGCGTGCGCGTCACCTTCAGGCTCTACCGGCTCAGCGAGGGCGGCAACTTCGGCGTGGACGAGGCCAGCCAGTTCTACATCAAGCTGCGCTACAAGTTCGTCAGCAGAGCACGCGCCGTCATGCGACTGGGAAACAAAGGTTCCAAGTTTCTTGGAATCGTTGTGCACATGAGCTTCTGCGACTTTATGTTCGACCACTGCGACCGGGATAAATGTCGAATACAGAGTCCGAATTTCCCGGGAATGTATCCGAGGAACGTGACGTGCTCGTACCATATCACACACAGTACACCGCCCCCGGGCACTCGTGCTCTGCTCGTGCTCTCTCAGCGCTACGGAGAACTCATCAACATCAAGGCGTCGGATGGATCGAACGGTGGCACCCGCGAACTGCGAACCTGGTCCAAATGTGACGTGGTGCGGGACTTTGTCACCGTGTACGATGGTGCCAACAAGTCGGCGCCAAAGCTGCTCAAGTTCTGCGCCGGCGCAGAGCTGCCCCCGCTCATCTCCAGTGGTCCCAACATGATCGTAGAGTTTCGTACGTCTGCGTTCGACCGTCTGACACAACCCACTTTCTCAACCGACAAGCTGAAGTACCCCACCTCCTACATGCCCGGCTTCGAGCTGGACGTGGGCGTCAAGTTTGTCAACATCACCGACCGCACTCGCTACGTGGACAACAGAGGCTGTGACTACGTCTTCTCCAGCACGAGTCGGACGCGCGGGGTGATCTACAGTCCGGCACATAGTCTGCCATCCAACACCACTTGTCGGTACACGCTGCTCGGTCGCAGCCACGAGCGGCTCTGGATCTACTTCCTTCAATACCACGTCACCTACCACGCTGGCTATGACAAAGCTTACGCCAGTGGCGCCAAGTCACGACACTGCCACCACCGTCTGGACATCACCGACGGAGCGCCAGGGGATGGAGTCAACCGCTCCCTCGGCTTCTTCTGTGGTGACACGAAGCCTCGGCTGTGCTCGCGGGCGCTGCGCGCTGCGACTGGCGCTGCGGTACCTCCGTGTGGCCCCGAGGAAAGCTACCTCTCGCAGGCGGAGAACGTCACTCTACTTCAGAGGCACGTCACCGGCCTCGGCCTGGATACGGTCAGTTTTCGTCTGCGATATGAGTTCGTGGACATGCGGGAGGACGGCCAGCAGCTGGGTGACAACCCCTGCCATCGGGTATTCGCCAGTCGTGGTCGCCTCAGCAAGGGCACTTTCGGCCCGGCGCGAAACGTCTTTCTGTACGGCCGCGGAGGGCGCGAGCATCTGCACTGCCTCTTCCGCTTCGAGGGGACCGCCGGCGAGCGGGTCCGCATCTTGGTCAACAAGTTCACGGCTGCCGACGAGAGCGGCTGTGAAACTGTGAGAGACGAGAGCCTGGGCCGGTACCAGTGCCGGTACCACGGCTGGGCCCGCTCCGAACTGCGACTGGCAGAGGTGCCGTGGCCAGGAGTGCGTGTGTGGAGGGATTGTGTGTGCGCGGACCGTAACACAGCCGAACACATTGTCGTCGAATCGACGTCTAGTGTGCTCGAACTGCAGTATGATGTGTTCAATATGACGGCTGATGAGGACTTCTACTCGTACTCCTTCATAGCAAAGTACGAGTTTCTGCGGAAGACATCGTGCAAGACGGAGACGCGAGTCAATGGTGAGTAGCTATTACGAGCTCCTCAAAAACCGGCGTTCGGGGGCCTGCTGTGTGCGTGTGGATGTGGTTTTTATCCAATTTGTTTATTCCGTCATGCTATGATAACCCCAAAATTAGACGGCGGAAATATTCACATATCGTTGTCTCACAATCAGTTGCAACAAACACTCTGCCCATAAGCGTGTAACTGCAAAACGAGGGAGGGGAGGATTATTTCGCTGAAAAACACATATGATACAACATCAGAACACGTGGGCTGATGCCAATTTCAAATAGTGCTTGTTTTAGTGACGAGGCCCAAAAGGTATAACGCATACCATCGTTCCGGTTAGTTTCTTACAAAGTTTTGTATTATATTATATATAATATACATATTACGAGACGATAATAATGCATTTTGTAGACAAACTATGTGATTGCTGGCGTTTAATTTGACCCGCTCTTACACCACAGAAAATTAAAGCCCCCGAGCGAAGCATTCCCTGAAATAGGCGCTTACGCCATATCATTGGCCGCACCTACGGTCCGGGACTGGCAATAAAATGCACCATTTCCTATCGCAGAATCGCCCGGCTATTGGTTTTACGATTTGCTATGACACCCAATACTGTTGGAATAAGAGCGCCACCTCTGGAATTGGGCGACCATTTATCTAGTGGGAACACGTGAGGAATGAGCTTCTAGAGGTCACTTTATCGGCCATTGTCGGACCCTCGACGCCACTGTTTGACAGGGAAGAGTGCCGATTTGGCGGAAATGACCGGGAAAAGGGACACCGGTCGACACGGACGGTGGGTTTGTGTGAGTGGGCACTGACAGAAGGATTAACGCGCGCAGGGGACTGGTTGAAAAGGAGACTCAAGCAGCGGATCGATTGGTGGACTAGCATTGACAGTAGGGTGGTCACGGTCAAGTGCGGTGGGATATGTGAAATGCTATGTTCAACAGGTATGCTGAGCGGTTACTGGTGAGACACAGCTCGCTGGTCGGTAAATGGGTAAAATCTTACAGCGGGAATACGAGCTTGTGTGCTGACCTATCATCACATGAGCGTGATGATAGATCAATTGGACCCGAAGAGAAATTAAACGGCCAGTATTAATCTCGGTTATTTGATCATTCATCGCCGCGCCTTCCTACGTTCGCCAATGCCGTGTGTGCGTTTTGCCGCGTACATACAAGCCTGAGGCAAGCTTACCGTCTAAGCTGATTGTCTGACTGATAGACTGAGCTACCTCTCACAGGCGGAGAACGTTACTCTACTGCAGGGTACGTCACCGGACTGTAGCGGGCTCACCGACCGCCTTTAACCTCCACCCGGCGCTGTGTCTGCAGGCAGCAGCGGCGTGCTGCTGCTGGAGCCTCCCGCGGAGGCGGAGGCGCCCTGTGACGCGCTGCCGTGGATGCTGGAGGCGGCGCCGTCCTCCTTCCTCTACCTGTCTGTGACCGGGAGGAGACAGGCGCCCGGAGTCTGTCCATCTCCGACTCGACTGGTCGTCTCTGCACCCGACCTCACTGAGCCGCTGGCCATCATCTGTCCCGGAGGCACCGACATGGTAAGAGAGGGACATGGCAAGTACGGGGGACATGGCAAGTACGGGGACATGGCAAGGAGAGGGGTATATGGCAAGGACGGGTACGCGGTAAAGACGGGTTACATGGTGAGTACGGGGTTTATGATAAGAACCAGTGATGCATCTACAAAACAGCAGCGGTGATACCCACGATACCAAATGATAACCAATGACACCCATGAAGCTTCACGAAAACATTACTAACCGTGGACGGTGACATTGAGCAGTGACCAGTGGTAATGTCACTGAGCAAAGTGATACTAACACTAAAAAATAATACCGTCACTGGTCACTGACCTGTGATACATGACACAGACTCGCATCATATTACCCATAAAACAAGCATTACCTCCACCAGACAAATCACTTTTCTCAGAGATTCCTCTGTTGCTGACCGTATGACCTTTACACTGACCATGACTCCCAAGGGACGCCAGGATAACGGTCGTTTTCTCCGTGTGCCGAGCGCTGAGACACTGTAATACCTCGTGGAAATGGGCCCAGCACAACGGCGGCTCAGCCCGGCGAGCAGCTAATTTATTTTGAATCAGGACAGACGGTGTTAACGGCTGTGTTTCAGGCCAGATAAGTCCGCTGTCCGGAAATTCGAGTTCGGAAGACTGAACGCATTAGGAAGGGAAGGTTAAAGGGAAAGAGAGAGAGAGGGAGATAGAGAGAGGGAGGGAGTGGAGGGAGGAAAAGAAAGCGAGAGAGGGAAGGAGAAAGGTAGGGAGAGGGAGAAAGAGGGGAGAGAGAAAGAGTAAGAGAGCGTGAGGGAGAAGGAGAGAAAGAGAGAGAGAGAGAGGGAGAGGGAGAGAGAGAGAGGAATAGAGAGAAGAGAGAAAAGCGGGGCTAACGTTTGTATTGGTCGTCAGCTCAGTCGGCTATTTTTCATCACTGCTTGCTAAGTGGTGGACTCCGAGTGATGGCTGGCACCAGGCCACCCGGATGTTATTCCCCACTGTTGTTCCTCAGGTGGAGGTTTTCAGTGCCGGCTGGCACCACACCACGCACCAGTCGGCACCACCGGCCGATCATCAGCGGCATATGGTGATCGATCTGGTGAAGCCGGAGCCCGGACAGCCAGTGAAAATCACCTGGCTAGAGCTGCTCCGGCCCGAGGTGCAAAGGTCAGTTAGCAACTCGCATCCAACTGGCAAACGAGATGCCATTCGTTACCAACTTCAGAGCTCCCTGTCACCACACTTCGCCCCAAATGGTGAAATGCTATGTTCGCCGTCTTCTGGTACACGTGTGGCGGAGGAGCTACAGGTTGTGTAAATTTCCAAAAGATTGGGAAACAGCTAAGCGACAAATTGACGTAAGCTATGCCAGTTTTGCTCTTGCACTGTAATAGCTGAGTTTTGGACATGTCAAGACATATACACTCGTAGACCGTCTATTCCTGCCCGTGTCCAGCAATGGCCAATATCTGGCCCATTTCTGGACAACAACTGGCCGTTTGCGGATATTTGGACAACATGAGCTAGCGATGAGTATCTGAGTGTTTGTTTTCAGACAATGATCATCCGAATCACATGCGGACTGTAGCCGATCGTTTCAACCACATCCGAAAAGCTTCTGAGCTGTCTCGTCTCCAGTTTATGTCTCACGTACATATCTCCGACAATCACCGAATGTATAGCACCGTGTCCAGCCAGTCGCTAAATTTGTGTCTCACGTCCGGATAGTCACTGTATGTCCGCCACATATCAAAACAGTCGTTGAATATCCGATCCATCTGAGGGCAGTGCCTGAACGTTTGTCCCATGTCCAAAAATGTCTGAACGTCTGTCCCACGTCCGTCCAGGTCGACGACAGCCGGTGTCCAGGGCCGCAGCCACCGCTCGGAGGCCTGGGCGTCTGGACCGTGTCGACACATGTGCCCAGAGCTGGACGGAGGCTGTATCGCGCCGCATCTCTGGTGCGATAACGTCCAGCACTGTCCCTCGGGGAGGGACGAGGCACCAGGTATGGAATACGAGCGCCCCGTGAGACAGGTCATAGCAATAATCCCCAGCATGGCCCATGGGAGCACCGGCCAAAAGACCTTGGTAACTCGTCATGATAAATATCCATTACCAGCGATAATGGCCCTAATTTGGTCATGAGCCCAATGACCATTATAAATGGAATGCTTTCAGAAAACCTTTTCAGTCCTCCTTTACCAAGCAACATCTTTCTTCTGTCGTCCATTCTCTCCCCACTCTCGTTGGCTGCTGCAGAAAACATTGTTGTATATTTGCATTTTATTCTCGTTTGCTTTGCTCTCGATCGTTCCGAAGTGCTTCGGCGATGGAGCGAAGGGTCTCTGATAGCACTTAATAGCGCAATCACTGTCAATAAAGTCTAATGTTTTCCCGGTCCTGCCTGTAACCTGACCTCCACCGACGCAGTGCTATATCTGTCTGCACAGCACTCAGATCAGACCGCTCGACCTTTTTTGATCAGACTGTTATCTGGGGCTCAATGTGTATTCAATGAAGAATGCACTGTAGGATGAGACTGTCAACCTAGGAAGAGTGTTTGCTGATAGAGCTGGAATGTAAATTGAGACTCACTGGAATTGGGGCCGACAGTAAATTGAGGTAGGCTTGTTAGTGAAGCATACGGTCTCGTATTTTAGATGAAAGATGGCTTAAGGTCAACTGCAATTTGAACAAGTCCGATTGTGGTTTGGATAAAAGGTGGATCTACAACAATTTGTTGAACTGGAACTCACTGTACATAAATACTAAATAGCAACGAACTGTTTGCTGACCGCGACTGACCAGAGAATAAAACTGCTTGCTTCCTGAGCTCGGTTTGTGCTTCGTTCACCCCACAGAGATCTGCCACCGGTGGTCCATCCCGTGGCTCTACGTGGGCGTGGCCGGCTCGGCGGCTTTCATCATCCTGCTACTGTGTATCGCCGCGCTGGTTCACCGGAGGCAGAAGGGCGCCCGACCCGACCGGGGCAGGTGTAACGCGGCACTCTCCAACAACCCGCACGAGAAGAGGCTGCCCACGGACGAGGTGAGAGCCGTGAGAGCGGCGTGGGTACAGAGGTGAGAGCGATGTGCCTACAGATGTGAAATCAGATGTGAGAACTGTTAACGCTACAGAACGTGTCTGAAAGTGAATACCCATTTCGACCTTTTGAAACTGTCTTAGCTATCGGACATCTAGATTTGCCTTTGGTTTAATAGTACGAGCATATTTCCTCCTCCTCATCTCCCTCTCTCTCTCTCTCCCTCTCCTCTCTCTCTCTCTCACTCTCTCTCTCTCTCTCTCCCCCTCTCTCTCTCTCTCTCCATCTATCTATCTGCAGTGGCACGCCCCACTTTATCCCCTCCCCAGAGCGGATCTCATGTTTCGTCAGTCGGACTCGCTCGGTACACACGTAGCGCCGCTCCTATAACCGAGTAAACACGGCAGTAATCGGCGAGAGGACGACGTGCGGCGGGCGGCTCCCTCCCCTCCCTCTCCCCCTCTCCCTCTCCCTCTCCCCCTCCCCTTCACTAACGCCACCAGGTCGACGCGCGGCGGTACCGCGTCCGAAGGCAATACGTGATTGAATGGCGGAGCGGCTGGCCCACTTCCGTCGCTGGCGTTGATCGATGTGGGTGGCTTTGACCCGGAGGTAACAGCCGACGCTCCCTCCCGCCTCCCCGCCACCGCCGCCGCTACCGCCGCCGTCGCAGGATCATTGATCCAGCAGACAGAGATCCCACGCACCTACTCGTATACCTTCAGACAGTCCAGGACGTGCTGACGCATCTACAGAAGCACAAATGGCATCGAGATAATCTCAGTCCTCTCTAGAGATTATAGAAGAGATAGACTGTAGAGAGTATCGGGGGTACATGCATCTAAGGACAGCCCAGATCGTGGTGACTGTTAGCTGAAATAACTTATATCTAATATAGGCACATCTAATAAAATTTCGACATCTTGAATGGAAGACAGATCCGAAGCTTGCAGCTTTTTTAGTCAGTGTACTTAGTCAAATAAGCGGTATCCCGTTACAGACAGCAGATGAGCAAGAAGTCCTCAGCGACAGCATATTTAGTTCTATAGCCTATGATCGGCGTGAGGGGGTCGTCGCCTTCTCGGTGCTAGCAGCTCGCCTACTAGACGAACTCCGTGTCCATGGCTGCCCGGCCCATCCATCCCGTAGGCAGCTCGTGCTGCTAAGCGCAGCGTTGACAGTTTAATGCAGGCTGGAGCAGCGGCACCCTCCGCCCTCTCTCAGAAGAGTGACGAGTCGCTCCGAATCGGGCCATTGACCCGAGACGCGCCAGAAGGAGCCTGTCGACCGCGGACGGCTCAGCGGCAATGGCGGCGCAGTTAGGCGCTGTCGGCGCGCCGGTGACATTTAGTGACGCGGCTGACCGCACGGCGTTTTGTCAGCGCTAACGGCATGCCAGTCGAAATGGAATTTGAGCGCTGCCATGCTGTTCGGAATATTCTGGAACAAATGGTGTCCCGGGTCCAGCGGACCGTCCAAAATCGCGCTGTCCAACGCGCCTGACCGGCGAGCGGCAGCCCTTCCCGCTAATGACAGAACACTGGCTGAGCTGAAAGCCGAGCTCAATGAACATTTCAGTGTTGGAGCGAGGTTGTCGAATTACAATTAATGATCGGTTGGCTGTAATACAAATTGGGCTGCAATACAACATGATCAATACAAATTGGGCTGCAATTATCAGTGACATCCATTAGCAAATGAAATAGTTGTTTCCAACCTTAAATCCTTGTTCTATAATCTCTTGAACAAATAAATAGAAGCTTGTGTTTAATGAAAGTGAATGCCGCTGTGGTGGTTCACTCAGACATGAATTCGTGAAAGGTGTGATATCAACTGGCTGAAACACGCTTGAAATGTGAACAAAGAATAGGTGGTACTCTCAGCGGCATGCCATCTCAAAACTGCATTAAGAAGCGTAGAAGCGTAAAGGGCCTATAACCAACACAGCACGCTGCACGCCAAGCCTGCATAGACACTCGCAACACTCGCATGGTTCATCCGCTAACAGATGCGTGTGCTGCGGTACAGCATAACTTTCAGGCGAGTACTAGCAACGCCATCTATTGGCGGGATGGGACACTTCGGCGACTGCCTTGCGGGCGGCTCTGTAGCAGTCGGCATCGGTTCGGTTCGACTGTATATGGTTGGAACGTGACTTGAAAAGCCAATGGGTATTTATGCTGACAATGCATGTCAATGTTCCTTGACAACAGCCATGCATTGTTAGTTGATATTCAGTCACGTATCCGGTACTTGCTTTCACAACAAACAGCCGTTTTCACGAGGGCCATCTGGTACACATATGGTGCACATTTGGTGCAGATTAGGTGCAGATATGGTCAAATCAGTTTCAGTGTGTCTCTTACTAGCTATCAGCTAGGGTTGCACTAATTGCTTATATGCCTGCTTTGTCATATTATCAGAGAGTATCATCGATGAAAACACTGAAATAAATTCATAAAATACAGATATTTGCTGTAAAAGAGATTAGGTGCAGATTTGGTCAAATTAGGTGCACTCGCCGCCCGCCGGATAGCCTGTCGTGAAAACGGCCATTACCTACTTGTCCAGCAGCAGATCCACATGCAGCCAAGTGCTACCATCTAATTCGCACGACCAATGATACTTTGATGCAATTATCGCGAAAGGACGTGATATTTCTTCATGGATAATGAAAGAAAAACAGCCGAGTGGCGGGAACAGCTAAAATTAATACCATACATATCTCATTTGATGCAGACAAGAAGAGAGGCCTTTCCAGACTTCCCCAGACCCGATTGCTCCGCCTTGCTTCAGAGGTCCCTAAAGCCATGTTGGGAATTAGGATAATCAAAGAATACAAGCTAACTGACGTGCTAGCTCTCAAGGATGTCGCCTAACATAATCAACCCCACTTTCTCCTAGCGGTTCCACGCTGAAAATTGCAATCTATGTTCTGATTACCGCATCGTCCGTTTTCGTTCCAGACTCTGACTACAAGCGGTCTTTATAGCGGCAGCTCGTCACTCAAGAACGGCAAGGATCTCATCTCCGTGCCATCTACCTACTCTATGGACTCGGGAGATGTGGACCTCGTGGAGACAACAGTGTAGCGATGAATGCCGTGACGCTGTCACAGTGACGCTCCTACCGTGACATTGTGACCGTGACGTTTGGTGCCGGGACGCTGTTGCTGTGACGCTGGTTGGCATAGCGTGATGTGTGACGATACTGCAAGATTCGTGTTTCAGTATGTGGTTACGGTACGGCTGTTGTCACTTTGGCGATGATTCGCTGGACAGATGTACTGCCGTGACGCCGTGATCTGTGACGTCATATGGTGGCGCCGTGATGGCGATCGTGCTACGTGACGTGGCTCACAGTCTGCAGGACTACAGTGTGGACGATCACGGTGTTTTCGGCGGCGCTGCTGAGTGAGGGGCGTCTGCCTCTGCCCGTTTGTCAGAATGGGAGAGTCGGCTGATGTCATGAAATAATTTGACGTCACTTCAGGGACCACCAGCATTCGTCATAAGGTAAAATTGTGATGAGATGCACATATATTTCGATACCACTTGTGTTAACTATTTTCTAAAAATTGTAGAAATAACTAGTTTTGAAATTTAGAACTGTGATACAAAAAAAAATGTCCATGAGCCTGCTCGTATTTCCATTTGGTGAGCAATGGTAGATTTGCAGTGCTCATCATCGTTACTGTCGTTCTTTTCTATCTGTCCCTAACAGGTGCGGTGCCGCTGACACCAGTCTGCTGTCGGTCCGAGTCACTGCAGAGCTCGGCTGACCGGCGGGCCACCCTCCTGTTCTCGCTGGACGCTGCACAGCGCGACCACGACGTCTGGCGACCATCAGCGGCATCTGCTCTCTCATCAGTCTCATTCGATCATATGATGTCGTCCTCATTGTTGCTCGTTCGTGGGAAGTGACGTTGACGTCACTTCTACGAGCATTTCCTCTGCGTATCGCTGCTGGTCGCTGGTCAGCACCATATTGCACCAATTGATTAGCGTCCATGGACTAGAGTCGCTGTCAAAATTGACGGTATGCCGCCCCGGTATGCTACGTCACCGGTCCAACAGTTTCAGCCGTCACACAAGTCGGGGTCCGGTGGTGAGTATTATGTGGCTCATGGATAGCTCGCTGTGTCACAAAGTGGGCCATGTGGAGCAGCACAGTTTATCTGGAAGGGTCAGGTGTAGTAGTTTGCTGTTGAAGGAATGATGACCAGGAGATTCAGAGGGCGGCTTGGGGCTGCACTGAGTGGAATCAGACGGCCAGAGAACCAAGTAGTGTGAGAAATGTGTGAATGTTCGCTCAAATCTGTCTTCTTTCCACTTTCAAGGAGGCTTTCGATAGGAGGGCTATATGTCCGTGTTGTGCAACTGTAGTCCTTGACATGTTGTTTGGCTTTACCTATGCCAATGGTATCGGGCAGTTTAGGTGTAATTTATTCATGTTTTATGGAATGTTATTGTTTGTAAGCTTTTAAACGTCTTAAAAGGTCGACCCTCATTACCACGGTCGTGTGTGGTTAGATTATATTCCGCCCAAATTTTATTGCAATAACTTTATAGTTGTACCAAACAGTCCTACTGCAGTCAAAGACGGTCTCGTGAGCCTTTGAAGCTCAGCTTCTCCATACCACGTCTGTTCTATCTTCAACCAGTCTAGGTCTCTCTCTCTCTCTCTCTCTCTCTCTCTCTCTCTCTCTCTCTCTCTCTCTCTCTCTCTCTCTCTCTCTCTCTCTCTCTCTCTCTCTCTCTCTCTCTCTCTCTTTCTCTCTCTCTCTCTCTCTCTCTCTCTCTCTCTCTCTCCCTCTCTCTCTCTCTCTCTCTCTCTCTCTCTCTCTCTCTCTCTCTCTCTCCCGCGTTATTTTCCCATACCGTCGCTAATTTCTTGTCCGATTTAGTGTTCACATCACCGTTTTTTGTTAAGTTTTCTTTTTGATTGCCAGACAGACTCACTAAAGACAAAGTTTAGTGCTTTCGACGTCTTGAAAACTGCGGATAGTGAGAACTCTTGAATGTCTTTCGTTAGAGCAAACTTTTGCAGTTCCTCTTCCAATGACCAGCATCAGACCTTCACTGGAGTAGGGCATGCTAAAATAACGACTGGGTGGACTAACAAAACAAAAAAGATAAATAGATAAATAGCAAATATATGCAAGGAAAACTGTTGTCACCCCCTGGAAATTGAAATTGTTTGCAATGAATTCTACAGAAAGAACACTATTGAACTGTATTGTACACTTTTCATTTTATTGCCTGGGTTCCATTTCCGGCAGAATTCATTATAAGAAGGGCACGCTGGTTCATGCTTTTCATATCTCGCACCTTTGACCTTATCCCAGCCATGTTTGTCCAGCCAAGGCTTGTTGGATGTTGATCCGATGACCAATATGAGTATTTAACCTGTTTCAGTCAACGTCAACAACAAAACCCTGACTCTGCCCGTACTTTTTTTTAGTTCGTTTGTCTGTTTGTTTGTTTGTTTGTTTGTTTGTTTGTTTGTTTGTTTGTTTGTTTGTTTGTTTGTTTGTTTGTTTGTTTGTTTGTTTGTTTGTTTGCTTGCTTGCTTGCTTGCTTGCTTGTTTCTTTGTTTGATGGTATACCAAGAAGATTGTTTCTCACTTCTTTATATATTTATATTATTTATATTTTGACGGTTATGAAAAAAATCGTGGAATGTCTTACCTTCTCAATACACTTCGCCGCACAGCTTATCTTCTCAAATCTTCTCAATTGTCGCACAACTTATCGTCTCAATAGGTACACTTAGACGCACAAAGTACCTAATACTGCTGAGTAATTTTAATTTACGGCAACTCAATGGCCAACAGTGTTATATGTTCTGTGATCAAAACGGGTTTAAAGCACATATACGCTGGTTGTAATTAAATTGCTGTATTATATCGAGAAGATAAATATAAGCATGTTATGATATTAGCACAAACGCTACTTTATAAGTTGTTTAAAAGGAACATTGACCGTCATAGCGTGCACCGCTTGGACATATTTGCTGAACTGATTCCAGTTCAGGCACATTGAATATCAATTATATCGATGCTCAAGCTCATCCGCAGCTAGGAAAATTGATGTCGGCTGTTCGTATTGTACCTACACAAATATTGTGTGTAGGTATTGTGCTACAAAATCGGTGTTGATAAAAAAAGGAATTACACAATGGTTTCTTTTGCTTGCTATGAAACCATGCAAATCAAATCCCCGATATTGATTCTTGTGGATCGTGAAATTACCTAGTGCACTAGGAATAACATCATCACTTGTAAGAGTCAGTAAATCAGTTTTATTTCTCCGGAATAGTTTTGGCTTAGGCTTGGCCGGGTGTAGTGCGTATGGATTGGGACGTCTACATGTAAATGCGTAGATAAATATCAATGCGTTCGCCGTCCCCGCTGTAATAGCGTGTCGTTCTAACCCTGGTTCAGAACGACTCTCGACTGTTTCCGCACTGTAACGACAGCTAAATTCTCCATTCGACCACCGCCGTGTCGGTGCTCTGTGTGCCAAACAGGGCTCTTTGGCCGCCCACATGGCTCTCTAACCGAAGCTCAAACGGACGTCGTTGGCGGTTTGCCCGACGCTTCTATCCCCCGGGCGGGGTGGGGGACGTATCTGCCCGGCGTGGATGCGTCAGTATTGTGAGTGATGTGGTGATGTCCCGCGAGGGCTGGAGTGATGTCTCGCTGGAGTGACTTCGAGTCGGAGTGATGTTCGCAATGGATAGCGGTACCGATGTCCAAATTGCACATGTGTTCTTGGGCCTGGATAGTCACCCGAGCTACCATTCTCCTTGAGAGCATTAAGATACTTCGGAATGAAGCGACGCATGCGTGACCGTTTAGGCGATGAAGTGTCTAAGGCAGCCGTGTCGGCATAGGCGCCCGTGGAGGCGGCCATGTTGGAATAGGCGTCCGTGGAGGCAGCCATGTTGAAGTTGCTCTGTCCTAGCGAGTGCTGCTTGTGCCACTGTTTGTTGCCAATTTGAAGCCCTCTATTGTCACAGCGGGGTGAACGGACGCGCGTTGCACCTAAGCTGACGAGGCGTTCGTCTCTTGGTATTGTGCCAACTACGTGACCAATTCACATCCCCTCTACTCGTACCTAACTTGGTGTTTAGATATTGACTGCGCTTGACGAATGTTTCCCATTTAGTAAGATTTTCTCAATCACTCATGGCTGCCGGTGGGTACTAACTACTAACACTTGGACTGGCCTAAATGGTCGTGCGCAGTGCAGCTAAATTATTGTAGCGTTATTATCACGCCTCTATGCCGGATGTGTAAGTGAGAGTGATGTGGAGAGGGCCGTATGACGTTGTCTCGCTGCGCGTTATAGGCGACTACCTTGCTGTTAAACCGATGAAATAATATGATGCTTACGTGTTGAGTATGGTTTTGCGAGCTGCGTTTTTCAAGGCACCAAACCAATGTCCACTGCATGCAACCAAGATTATTTCACTCGCGTTGTCTGACAGGTGGCACTGAGCATGATAGTGAGGTAAGCGGTAACCATTGCTAAGCTTAGGTACCTACGTAGCAGTGCACAGTTAAATCAAGACTCGAACCGGATGATGGCAACCGTACAGACCGGAATAACGGGTTTGAAGAGAAGGATATGTGCGTCCTGAGTATAGAACAAAGGGACGCTAGGATCTCTAGCAGTAACCTATGGTTATCCAAATCCACCTCATTTCCAGAGGTGGAGATCTCGGGGGGGGGGTGTCGGGGGGTCAGGACCCCCCCCCCCCCCTGAAAACGAACTACTGCTATCACGGATCACATAAGGTGCTGGTGATCCGTGCTGCTATGTAAGTCAATGGTACTGCATCCAGCCCGCCTCCATCTGCCCGGCCTGGACCCCCCTGAAATTTTGACAGATCTCCACCCCTGCTCATTTTTTTGTTTGTTTTGTTGGGTTAGGCTCTTTCGGTCCAATGAGACCATTTCAGAGCCGGGAGGATGATAGGATATAGGGGGAGACATTGGTCTGGGCAGGCACCCTAGTGACTTCAGGTCATCTAGGATATCCATTGAGTCACCGGGGCTGAGCCCGTCCAGAGGTCAGGCCACCCAGCCCCAAGGCACTCACTGCACCCGGCTACGGGGTGCGCTCCCTCGGGAGCAGCGATGCCGCTCCAAGGGAGCAGCCCGCATGAGATAAAGTTGCCTGTCCAGCCCGGAACGGGGTTGCGGCGTGGAGGAGAAGGATTTCAGCATCCTGAGGATAGAAGCACGGAACGGTGCCTGCTCATTTCTGAGTCCAGCGTTATCCGACATCGAATAGATGAGTGGCTAATGCGGCTCGTAAGAAGGTACCACCCAGGCGCCTCTGCCATCTAGCGAGACGATGCTGCTGCCACCTATACAAACTGTTTCACTAAGGGCTTTCCTATTATTTTACGTTATATGTATACCTATTGCTGTCGCCAGTCAGGATGAAGTGTAAAAAAACTTAAGTGCACAGATAACTCAAATATGCTTTATTATGCTTGGTATAATAATAATATTATAAATTTAAAGATCGTACCTTTAGCTGCCACGAAGCGCAGTTGTTTATTCGGTAGGGGAGAATGAAACTGACTTTGATACTTTTTTCTTTATAGTCACCGTGCTTTTTTCGAAGCTAATGGCTGTTTTGGTAATAGATAAATAGGGTTCGAACTTTTATAACAAATAAGAAATTATCATTACAAGATCCTACTTTCCTTACAGCAAAACATATGATGTAATCAAACCTCGATAATTGTTGCAGCAATTTACTATATTTATTTTTCTGGACCTTGACTGTTTACGAGTCCATTGCTGTCTGCTGCGCGTGTGAATCTTTTACAATCGCTTTCGTCTCTGTTGTGGATCTGGCGTCGCGTGTGACGGTTGGGTCGTGTTGTGCTTCTTTCGTTTGATAAAGTAAACGTGCAAGAAATTATTATATTCATATTAGGGTGGTCCGGGAACCGTACGGGCTGCTTCCTTGCCTTTTTGGCCGCCGAATCTGGGCGAGCGTGGAGGCGTGGTGCGACTTGTTACTTGTGGTAATTTATCGTTAAATTGCCGAAAATGCCGTTCGGAATGAATCCAAGATTTGTGAATGTAATTGGCCTAGGCTTTGGGTTCATGTTCACTTTTACTGCATTCCAAACAATGGGAATTATTGAGGTAAGTTCATGACATGCTGCGTCTTGCCTCTACCACTTACCAGGTGTTGGCGCCGGGCTTAGGTCTCATTTGAAACATAACATGTTCTGTAATCTTGTTTACACATTGACATACTGTAATTTTTATGGCTAATGACATTCCAGACTGAGACTGAAGCCTAGCAACATTAACGCCTAACGGGGTCAATAGGTAAGACCCGCCAGCGATGCGAGGGTGATACCTATCATGTCAAATCCGTACCAGCCCGCACTAACAAGGCTGGAATTCCGTACCACCAGGCATTTACATTTTTCTGAGGAATTAATTAATATGCACTTGTGAATTGTGATGAGACAAAACTGCAATAAAAGGTCAATTTTTCTCGGCCAACCCCATTGTCTTCTGTGCACCTTTCGGTAAATGTCAAGTTTAAGTCCTAAGAAGATTTCATTGATAAATTTTTCATATTTTTACATTATTTGACATCCTGAATCCAAAAATGATACTCATATGTCTCGCAAATAAAAGAAAAAACAATCAAACCTGACATAACCTTACCTACTTACCTATAACCTACCAACCTACAACCTACAAACCTACCCTAACCTAACCTAACCTACAAACCTACCTACCTGCAACCTAAAACCTACAAACCTACAACCTAACCTAACCTAAAACCTAAAATTTTTGCTATTTCATATTTGTATCAACAGCATCACAATTGTAGTTAGAACCTAAACTTGACATATACCCATCTTTCTTGTAATGCATTGCAGCTAAGCGCAATACCACTATGGGCCTGCACTGCTCCACGCAAAATCACTTCACCACTTCACCTGGTAAATCTGTACTACACCACACACCAGCCGAGTGACCTGCTCTGATAGAATCTCATAGAGATTGCTACAGGTTGTAGTCTTGATACTGTTCTGTTACTTACTTACATTCTGGTCAAATAATGTCAAAGTATTTGTTGTGCAATGTGCATGTTCTATGTGACTAATTTGATTTATTTAATGAATTTTTGCCAGGGAAAGTTCTGAAAATGTGGGCATAGTGTTGGGCATTGCTGTTTCATAGCTCAGGTTAGGCCAGCATGGTATCTGTATAATTCATGAAATAGTTTTTTATAAAGCTGTTTTATGAAGCTCTCACCTACATTACAAAATTAATCAACAAAATATCCCTTTAAATTGCATTCCTGAAGCTTAACTTAACCAATATTTGTGGTTTTAGTTTGAAGAACTACCTTCTCATGCATTTCAATAAAATGACCATTTCAATTTCACAACTCATCTGCTAACTCACCTGTTAGGTTCCCTAGCTCATTGTCCAGGTGGAGCTAGCAAACCATGTCAAAGAACGACATGCATAATTCAGATGGACAAGACATTCAGATTGGATTTGTGCAATTGTTGTGTTATTAAGTTTTGAGATAGTGTCTGGCGCCTGCTTGGATGTATATGTTGCTGGTGGAGCTGGTCTAAGGGATTTATGGCAGAAAAGAGTGCCAACTGAGGTCATAATAAATGAAGTGGGTAATATGGAGGTAGCAGGATCAGATAGATAATATAGTTAGGACTTCAGAAAGGAATAAGTTCAAAGTGTGAGACTGGAAGCCTCTGGTTTGCCGGATTGATTGTCCTGTATACCCTGTGCTGTTCTGGGGGAAGGGGCGTTTTCACGTCCGCGCCCCTCAGGTTTTTTTGCGAATATCTCAAAAACGGCGGCGCTGCGCGCAGCCGTTCTTATTACACCGGTTTATACATCTTTTTCGCACAGGTTGTTAAAATTTCAGACCGGGGTCGTTCAAGGTCAGGTCATCAGGTCACGTCAAGTGACCTTGTCCAGTAGCGCGGGAACCGGGGGGGCTAGGGGGGGCTGAGCCCCCCCAGCTTTTCGGCTGGGGGGGCTCGTAATGTATTTGAGCCCCCCCCCCCCAGCTGGAGGAATCGAAATCGGAAATCTACCAACATAATTTCATAGATTCATACATAGGCGTGGGAACCGGGGGAGGGGGCAGTGGGGGAAGCTTGCCCCCACAACTCTGCGGCCGTGGGGGCGGTGCCCCACAACGTTTCATGAGGCCAGGAACCGTTGGGCAGCTTGTCCTCCCCAAATTAGGGGTTGTGGGTCACAAAGGAAGAAAGCATGTAAGTGAAAAGTCCACCTATTTCACTGGCTCGGCAACTCATTTGGCAGATTAAAACCTTTACTCCAGGTTGCCAAAACGATAGTTTCTTCACTCAGCTGAGACGGAATACCTCACTTTTTGAAAATATTTTCGTTTTTTTTTTTTTTTTGTTGTTGAAAAGGCCAAGGTCTGAAAAATAAGTGGCCTAAAACCGGTGAGAAAACTAGATTTGGGGGTACCCTAGGTTGATTTCTATTATGGTTCAGCCCCCCCAGTCTGGAAGAAGTTCCCGCGCCACTGACCTTGTCCTTACCTCAGAAAAAATTAGAATGCTCGTCATAGCTACACCGAGTGAACGATTGCCTTGAAGCTTTCAGCGATTGATAAGAGTAACAGTATCTATAAAACGTATATCTCGGAATTTTGATATCGGTGACCTAAGGTCGGGTCAATTTTGCCGCATCTCCATTATCAATTGTAAGTTAATGGGAGAAAATTGAAAAGCGTCTCTTTTCCACGAACGCCATTCTAGACACTCAAGCATCGGGATGCAGGTAAAATTGACACACTGAACCGGAAAATGGCACCTGTGACCCCTCGTTATGTCCCGGAGGTCATCTCAGGTCACAAAGAGTATCTAACAGTTTTTCGCTAACAAATTATGATTGAGGCATGCTAGAGTGATGAAAATGCCTTAGATGCGTTCGGCTCGACGATGCGGATCGACTGATATGCAACATGACCTTCTCCGGTCAGGGGCCGTATTCACGTCGACTTCGTAAGTCGATTTTCTTTGGTAAGTATAATTTGGTATTCACGTCGACACTTCCTAAGTTTTTATCGACGGAATTCACGTGATTAAAAAAATTGACTTAAGAAGTAGGTCAAACTTAAGAAAATTCTTACGAAAATGATCGACGTGAATACGGCCCCAGGTCATTACCTTGACCTGAGATCAAATTTTCAAGTTTACATTTCAAGGTCAAATTATAGTTCATTCGACGCATCTCGACGAGAGAAACACGATGCTGGCAAAAGTAATGTCATGGCTCTTTTGTGTCAAAAGTTATTGCCGAAAAAAAAATCTTCGTAAAAACGTTTTTTTTTAGTTTTGCTTTCTGGAGGCTAAATCGTTGACCTGAGGCCAAATCTGAGGACATGCTGGCGAAAGACCGTTAGAAGAGCTATGGAATGCGCTTTTCCGCGGCGCTGTAGCTGTATCGGTGTCTGTAGCTGTATCGATGCATCGGTTCCCGAGTTACCCGTTGGCAGTTTCCAAAATGTTGAAGTTGCCAACATTTTACCTTTGGTGACCTGACCTTTGACCTGACCCAAAAAGTTACCGAGTGTTTTCGTCTTTATTTTGGACGTTCTTTCGATTGCCGCTTACCGCTTACCGCGCTTACGTGGCCCAGGAGCCGAGTTAGACACTGAAAGAAAAACTACACCTGAAATTGGAATATTATTACGGTACACAAATCTCCACCCCTTTTAACTTCATTTTATGCCAGAGTAAAAGATGTTTGCATGGACAATTGGAGATTAATTCTGCCACCCGGTAGTAAGTAATATATCCTCGTAAGCTTAAAACTACACCCGTTGCGGAATAAAAGTACGGTACACAAATCTCCACCCCAAATCAATTCATTTTACACCCCTAGGTAAAGGGTGTAAAGGGGCGTTAGGAAGAATTAAGCATGTAATTTACGATGATAATTTTACGCCACAGTGCAATTTAAGCCAAAACAATTTCTACGCCTTGCGACATGGTGTAGAAATACCAGCGGGCTGCGAAGCTGAATGTGTAAAATTTAAGTCAAGATGTAAAAATAGCTCACGTTATAATCCGCATACAAAACAAAAGTAAACGATAATAATTGTATGTTCTTTTCCAGAGGGAGTAAAAATACGACTGGGTAAATATACATCGCCAGCCATAACTATCCCCCAGCGTGATTGTATCTACTGTCGTCTTCTGAGCACTTTCGATAAAGTCAACTATGGTGCATCTCTCCAACGTGTTGTTTATTTAAAATAACTTGAAACGACAGATCACAGGTTGCTACAGATTGGTTCCTCCCAACACTGACTTCCCTGAGGATATCACAAGCTGCACAAATCACATTTTATTCACAGCACAGTTCATCAGGTCACTAAGTCACGTTTCATCATGTACTTTAAAAACAACTGAGCATTTCTTCGTGTAACGAGTATCGACACCAAACGTACGGTCTCTGAAATCAAAGCACAGGTCCAGGTGTACGAACTAGGAAAGCACTGACAACAAAAACTCCGTTAAAAAAAAACTGACTGAGGCCTTCTCAACTCATCATCTTCAGTGCCTATAGGTACTGAAGATGTTTCACGGCACGACACTACAGTGCGTTACGTGTATCGCGGTGCTGAGTTCCTATTGGAAACATCCACATACTCGAACGCTCTCAATGTTGGAGCGTCCAAGTTTGTAGATGTTTCTATGGAAACTCAATACCGCGATACTAGTAGCGCACAGTAGTGCCGTGCCGTGAAACAGGGCCCTGCTCGGTCACCCGACCACTACACTGGTGCCTCTGAATCGGCAACAGTGGATTATACGAAGGATGGCATTCTCGGCCGCACTGAGAGGAATCGCGAACTTCATAACCCGTGCATATATGACCTCAAAAAGGATCATGCTGGGCCCTCTAAAAGGCAAATATAGCACAGCGTGCGCCGCAGCGAAGTCAGCCAGCATCTTCATCTCACTGTTTGGGAGACGATATTTCACATAGCTGACCAGGCACTGGGTTTCTGGGTGAACGGACACAGAGTTGCGCCCATCCTGCAGCTCCGAAATCGTCGTGCCGCCACCGATCACCAAGGTGGCCGCCAGGTCGTCATCTACCAA